CCCGAGCCCCCCCGCCCGAGAAGGGGGTCGAGCCGCTTGTCCGGGAGCGGGGGAGCCCTACCCCAGCCCCGGCCTCGGAAACCGTGAGATTCGGCTAATAGACCCTCAATAAACAGGAATAATTCCCCCCAAATAACCCCCTTCGTATCTCGCTTCTCGTGCTGCGTGTCACACACTCGTCTGCCGTTCGGAGTGACGGCTCGGGAAGCCGTTCTCCATGTCCCCGTGGGACACGTCACGTAGCTCTGCGTAGCGTCCGGCTGGCTTTCTCCGCTGGGCTCCTGTTTCACGTGGTTTTTAGATTTTTTTTTTTTTTTTTAGCCTTGATGACATAGGTGAAACTCAAAGCATCTCCGTGTGGTCGCTTATCCAAGTTAAACGTGACCCCGTGGGTGTGTTTCTGCGCGAGCCAGAGGGCTTGACGGAGGGGACCGCGCTCTGTGGGTGTCAGTCTCTTCTCCGCACCTGCCCTGGGCCCTGCTGGTGAAAACATCCAGCTTTATTTTGCCTCAGCAGCATGAATTGTGGGGAATATTTTGGTTCGTGCGCCAGTGGTGCTTTTGACTGGGAACCAGGAACCCAGCGGTTCCGCTTGCTGTGTTGTTGCGGCGCAGCTGCCGGGCGGAAGGGATTGTCGCCAGTCTGCTTAAAACGCAGGGTGGAGCGAGCAGAGCTCTTCCCGGGAAAGCTGTGCCTGCCCAATTTGTTCTTTCCAGGGTTTTGAAACACTCTAAGGCAAAAAAATGAAAGGGATTTTTCACGCTCGGGGCTCAAGTTCCTCCTGCTTGTCAAGGGGTAGTGGTAAACCGGAGATCCTGGCCAGGGATCTCAAGCTGTGTGTTTGGTTTCCTCCTCTGCAGAGCACCTTGAGTGATGCCCAAGAAGTTCCAAGGTGAAAATACCAAGTCGGCTGCTGCCCGCGCAAGGAAAGCTGAGGCAAAGGCAGCAGCCGATGCCAAGCGCCAGCAGGAGCTGGAAGATGCCTACTGGAAGGATGAAGACAAACACGTGATGAGGAAGGAGCAAAGGAAGGTGAATTGCTAGACAGGTAGAAGGGGAACTTTCTAGATGATCTTATGCTAAGCCCTGGAAATTCAAGTCTACTTAGAATCACAGAATCCTTGAGGTTGGAAGGGACCTCTAGAGATCATCTAGTCCAACGCCCTGCACACGCAGGGTCACCCAGAGCACGGGGCACAGGCTGCGTCCAAGTGGGTTGGGAAGATCTCCAGAGAAGGAGACTTCACAACCTCTCTTGGCAGCCTGTGCCAGGGCTCGGGCACCCTCACTGGCAAGAAATTTTCCCTTGAGTTCCTGGGGAAATTTTGGTGCTTCAGTTTGTGGCCGTTTCCTCTGGTTCTGTCCGTGGCCACCACTGAAAAGAGGCCGCCCCATCCTCCTCAGTGCCTCCCTTGAGGTGTCTACAGACACTGCTCAGGTCCCCCCTCAGCCTCCTCTTCTCCAGGCTGAACAGGCCCAGCTCCCTCAGCCTTTGCTCCTAGGGCAGATGTTCCAGGCCCCTGATCATCCTCGTAGCCCTGCGCTGGACTCTCTCCAGCAGCTCCACATCCCTCTTGTGCTGGGGAGCCCACAACTGGACACAGCACTCCGGGTTCTTAGGGTATTGCTTCTATTCCCCTGTCCCAAAGCTACAACTGTAACTCTGATCTTTGTCCTGCAGTTAGTTTTCCAGCCAAAAAAGCTGGAATTGGTGTCGTCTTTGGGAGCTAAAAGAAGCAGACAGTGGGAGTAAGTGTAAGCTTTGATGCATAATTCAAAGATCCTGTAGATCGTAGAGCTGTGTTCCCAAGGGAGACAGAAAAAGCCTTAGTGTTGGAATCACTTAAAATTGAATTAAGTGATCAGAAACCACACCTTATAGGGCTTGATTTTTTTGCCTTGGCAGGTCTTCTTTTCTTTTTTTTTTTTTTTCCTTTCCCCTCCTTTCCTTTCTTTTTCCAAGTTTATCCATGCCATAAATGGTATTTATGGGGTTACTGGTTTTCGCTGCTCGCTGCATGTATAAGCTCCTTGGTGCTTAGCGAACTTTGTTGCTCCTTGAGCTCAGCAACCGAGCAGCGGGCAGGGAGCCAGCGTGTCCCTGTGACCTTGACAGTTTTGTGCTCTGTGTTTGTTCGAATTCACCCCCCTAATATGCGTCTTGACACTGGGAATTTGGAGCCCAGTGTGCTGTTCCCGAATGCAGTCTCGTAATGCTGCCTAATTACTTCCTGGAACAAGGTCTTATTGCTGTTCCACTTAGGACCTTGCCAACACTGGCCTAGTTTAATGGGCTCCCCAAACAGCTTCTTGGGGGTGAGGGGCTTGGGAGGAGCAGTGTCTCGTGAGCTGCAAACCTGGCGGAGCCTCGGGCTGCCTTGGGAAAGGCTTTCGCTGGGCACCGGCTCCTCTCGCTGCTCCGTGCTTCGCTGGGCGTCCCGCAGGATTCCTGGCTCTTCGGAAAAGCAAGCGGAGCGCGGGAAGGACGTGAAGGAACAGCCGCTGCCAGCCAGGCGCACACCGTGCTCGGCCCCACGGCGCTGCCTTCCTCCCCTCGCGACTCTCGCAGCGCCTCGCTGCTCCCCGAGTGACTTCTCCCCTCTCTGCTCGCCCTGTCCCTGCGTCACCTGCGTGCGTGGGGCTCCTCTTGAGACCTGGAGCGTCTCCTTGGGGAGCGGGAGCTGCCCCTGCACCGCTATCCCAGCGGGAAAGGGAGGTGGGCGTCTTGCCGTGCTCATTGCACGGAAGCCAAAGCATTGAGTGGATTCAGACTTGTCGGGATAAGTGTGCTGGTGGTGCTGGAATGGGGATAGCCCTGCTGGCCGCAGCCGTGTGCTGCGGGAGGGACGAGGATTTTACAGCATGAGGAGGAGAGTGTTCCCGCGTCGGGGCTGGAGCGGCTCTTCCCCGGCTCCCCAGGCGATGGCAGTAACACATTAACTGCTCTGTGAAACACCTCCCAATTCCTGGCGAGGAGGAGGCAGCAGCGAGCGCTTTGGGCGCTTTATCCATCGGGACACAACGTGCTGGTCCCTTTTAATCCCCTTGTCCCGAGCAGGTGAGCGGCAGCTCCTCAGGGAAAGCGATGGGGATGGAGCCCGCGGTTTCCGCCAAGCTGCTGCCGCGCGGCACCGCTCCGGGTCTGGTGGCTCTGAGCGTGGCCTCGCCTGAGGGCTAGTGACACACGTCGTGTGGTGCAACGGTCATGCCTGGGCGTGGGGAAGCCCAAAATGCCATCTTGCTGACGGGATGTTCCTTGTCACCGGATGACTGTCCTGTTCCTTTAGCTGTGTTTCCCATTTTTGGGTGTTAGTGTCTTTTAACGTCCCCCTCGCAGGGGCTGAGGTGGGTTTGGGGGCTGCTCTCCGCTGCCAGCGCTGACACTTAGTGGCTCTGTGGTGCGTAAAGGAGCCGCTGAGCTAACGTCACCAGCCTGCACTACGTGCATCCCTTCTCCGGCACACGGCAGCTTGTTACCTTCCCTGGAGAGCTCTGGCTGGCAAGCACAACATGTGCTTTGTTTTTGTCGAAAGACTCGGGGTTTTACCCAGATAATGGTTTTCTCTTAACACCCGGGGATCTCCAGCCACCCTTCCTTCCCCTCCGCTCCTCGTGCGCGAGGTTGGGAGGGTGATGCTCCTAATGGGATGGCTCCCGGTGATGGCTCCCTGTGTTTCTTCTCTCTGTGCAGCCAGCTGAAGCGGCTCTGGTGCTGGAATGGCCACATTGTGGAGGAGGCTGCAGGCCGGCGTGCAAGGGTGATGGCCCATTAAATGGGCTGGGACGCTGCGGGAGCACCCGAGGAGTCCCCGCCGTGCGGGTCCCCGGAGGTCCCCAGCAGCACCCAGGCCCTGCCCTGGGCCCCCGGGGTAGCTCCGCGCCCCTGGTTATGCACGAAAACCTCTCGCAGCAGGTGAAACATCCGTTGGAAGGACACGGGTTCGGCGTCTCCTCCCAGCAGCCGGGGAAGTCTGGGCTAAGGGCGGGCCAGCCCTTTCACCCATTCCTGCTGCGGCTTCGCCGGGCTCCGTGCCGAGCATCCCGGCCTTGGAGGCTCCAGGGAAAGAGCTTCTTGCTGCTACTCAGCCGCTGCGCAAAGCCCCTTCCCACCTTTGCCGCGGGCTGCGGGGTTGGCTGTGCTGCGCTGCTGCCTGGCTCCGGAGGGCTCTGCTCCGTGGGAATGGCGGGGAGGCGTATGGAGCGTGTGGGAGCAAGGAGGCTTTCCATGCTCGTGTAGGAAAGGTCTGGGGAGAGATTCACGTTGAGTGCAAGGTGAGAGCTGTGCTGGAAGGACTCGGCCCCCAGCAGAGCAGTGCTCTGTTTCGTGTCTCGTTCTGTGGAGCTGTTTTGGGGCATGGGGGCAGGCTCTGGGCGCTGATGGGACCCATCCGCAGTGGTGTCACAGGCCAGCAAAGGGTGATTTTTTTTTTTTTTTCCCTCTCCCCTTCTCCTCTGATTCAGTTCAGAATTACTCAGCTGTGAGCACCAGCTCTTACTCAGATGAAATGTTAAGCAGATCAAATGACTCTCCTCTCCTCTTTAGAGGACATCTCTGTAGTACGGGCTTCCCAGCACTGAAATCCAGTGGCTTGGAGGAGAAACGCCAGGGACAGAGTGATGCAGCACCGAATAGCGCCAGGCTGGGGCTCAAGGCCCACCACAGACCTCCCCGGCACCGCGGTCATTGCCTGCATTTCCCGCGGTGCGCCTCGCGAGCCCCGCGGGCGCTCGCACAGGCCCCGGGTCCCTCTGCGCTCCTCCCTTGCCTGCTTGCTCTCAAGCCATGCGCCTGGTCTCCTGCCATCCAGCAGGTAGGAGGCTGTTTGGAAAGCTAGGGAATTGTTCCTTGCTCAGACAGTTCTCCGCAAGCTGGAAACGAGCGTGTTAAAATACTCCTTGTGACCAGGAATGTCCAGCTAAAGGAATGTCCCCCCTGCATCTCCCAGTGTCCTGCTGAGTGCAGCGATGTTGAGCGACAAAATCCCTCATTTCCCTTCCAGCTTTCATGCTTTTCATGCTTTTTTTTATGCTTTTTTTTTTTTTTCAATGCTTTTCATAAGCGTTCAGCTTAGCTACATGTTTCATGCGGAGAAACCCAGGCCTCCCTTTCCATCAGGACACTTAAACGGATTCATTGCACTGACACAAGGGGCGAGTTTGGTTTGCCCCGACCTGAGAGAAGTTTTCCAAAATGACTGTTTAAGAGTCGGAGAGAGGAATTGCGCGCACGACGCGAGGCAAGTCCGCGTGGAGCTGAGACATCGTGGCAAGGGTGCGCGCGGAGGCGCCTCGCATCTGCAGCCTCGGCTCCGACGGGGCCACAGAGGCTTCCGTGAAGGATGCAACTCGACCTCCGCGTTACAGCAGCCTTGGAAAAGGCCCTTGGAAAAGGAGCAGCTCCGGGGCGCCGACGGCGTCAGGGTTTTGTGCTCAGCGCCTGCCCCTGGTTGTGCTTTGGAGCACGAGGGCCGGCGCAGAGCGGGCTTCAAAGTGAGGGGCTGCAGGCAGAGCCGAGCGTGCACATCTTGCGGGCCTTGTGCCTAATTAGCACTGCTGCAGGCTTAGTTATTTTCCACAAATAGAAACTCAATGATAGATGCCAGGGAGAGGCGTAGTCCAGTGGCTGGAGAAGGGAGCTGGAGGAGAGGAGTAACCAGAGGTGCTCTGCAGCATCGGGGGCAGGAAGGCAGCTCTGCACCCTGCTCACATCTCCGTTTCCTCTCCGCTAAGTGGATATATCCTATCTGGAGATTTTTAGTGGAAAAGAGCTAAAAGCAGAGCCAGTACCCTTGAATTTCTGCACCGTCAGATCATCATCCCAGATGGGGCTTTGTGGAGTGAAACAGACTGCTGAGCTGGCTGCCGTGTAGGACAGTCCTCCTGTAATAAGCAGGGGTAAAAGATAAGCTCCTCTAACTATAAATAACATTTCTGTGCTGGAGTGTGCTGCTCTCCTCCCGTAGGTCATTAGTGCGTGTGTTTCCAGCCTTTATCGGTCTCGGAATTAACGCAAACCGGAGCGCGGCGCTCCCTGCGCCCGCCGTTTCCTCGCGGTCCCTTCTCAGCCCCAGCTGAGCCTGGGGCGGGCAGAGCAGCAAGGGGACGGTTTCTCCTAGCAGTAATCCATGTTTTGGGCACGAGAGCAGCACCCTGTGTGCTTCGTGCCCCGTCAGGCGCCGTGCCCTGCTCACCAGGGCTTTATCGCAGGGGCTCTCGCGTCGTGCTCGGACAAACGATGGGCGTTTGGGCTTGCACAGAGCTGCAGTCCCCACGGCAGGTGCCAGTGTGGAGGGAAACGCTCGTGGCACCTTCCTGCCTCCCCTGCCCTCCTGAAGCTGCCGGTGCTGGGCAGGCTCCGGGGCGTTGGAGCCCTCCTGCTCCTGCCCTTAGTGCAGCCCGGCGCTGTCTTGGCCCCTCTGCCTTATGTATAAAGGGGGCAGTGGCTGAATCCCTGCTAATCCCGGTTCGTTTGTTTACTCTTTACTAGAAGAGGGAGAGGCCCAACAGGAAAGCAGTGGGCAGGGAAAGGCCGGGCTTAAGTGAATGAGTTGGCTCTTTGAGGTGATTCACACTCCAGTTTCCCTGGCCTCGCATCTCAAGGCAGAGCACTAAGCACTTAATGACCACGAATTTGGAGCCTGCCAGTGGTATTAATAAGAACTTCCTCCCTGTAATGGCTTTTTTTTTCCCCCCATCCTTGATGGCAGCCGCTTGGAAGCGGAGGCGGGAGAATCTTCCCCTTCCCAGCCTGGCCCTTCCTCTGGACGGGAGCCACAGCCCTAGGGCATGTTCAGTTCCATGGTGGTGAGCTCGGATACTCTCTTTTGATGAGTTTTCATTTGAATTCCTGAGCGCTGGAGTGACTTGCATTTTCTAATTAGTCCCAAGCCCAGCCTTATTGAGCGTCTCTGCAGCCGGCCCTGCCCTGGCACCCTGGGGTGCTGATGACCTCGGCCTGCGTCGCTGCCGCCCTTGTTTTGCCGCACGGCTGCTCTCGGGCTGACCCCGTCCTGTTCGGGCTCCCTGAGGTGGTTATGCCGACCCTGTGAATAATAGATGAGACCCATAATTAATGTGTCCATGTAACTAACCTAAATACGAGGCGCTCTGTGGCTTGTGACACTGACCTAGACAAAAAGATGCTTATCTGTTGTTTCCTTTTTTTTTTTTTTCTTCTTCTTTTTCTAGAGCTTAGGAGCTACAGGAAAGGAGGAAAAAAAATATTGAAGCCGAAGTGCTGAGAGCCCCTACGAGCCTGTTGCCTGGTGGCTTCTGGCCGAGCTGAAGGGGACAAAGTGGCTCTTAAACCCCCGTGTTCACAAGTGCTCCAGGAGAGCGGTGCCGCTCAGGGAGTTTAGACCCGAGAAACAGGCTCAGCTCCTAGACTGGTTTGTCTCGAACAACTGCTGAACTTTTAACCTGCAGCCACTTATTAGAATGAAAGTGGAAAGCTCAGCCCGGTTGTCAGCAGCCCTGGCTGCCGCTCGCGCTCCGCGCGCAGCGGGTTGTGTTTCACGGCGCTGACATCGCGGGCGCGGATGCGGATGGGACAGGGACTGAGGAATTATTATTCTGAGGAGCCAGGCCAACTTAGCGTTGCTTTGGTGAACATCTAGGGAGGAACTGGCCAGTTTGTATTTCCTATAAGGCGAGGTCCGTGGTCCATTAGCTATGGAAAGGAGGCCCTTGTTTCTCTTCAAGTGTCTCTTTCCTGCTCCTGTGAGGGATGGTTTGATCCCTGTGCTGCACGGGATGGAGGTGACTTGGCTCTTCCCCCTTCTAGGAGGAAAGGGAGAAGCGGCGGCTGGAGCAGCTGGAGCGCAAGAAGGAACTGCAGCGTCTGCTGGAGGAGGAGGACTCGAAGCTGAAGGGGAAGTCGCCCAAGCAGGTCACTCCGGGCAAGGTCACCAGGGCCCAGATTGAGGAGACGATCAGGAAAGACCAGCAGCAGAAGGAGAACGCAGACACAGGTTTGGAGCAGCCCTTCCTTGGTGCTGGGGCAAGGCGGGGGGACGGTTCCTTTGTGATGCACAGTCGCTGCAGGCCATGTGCTTTGCTGTGTCTATGTCTAACCCCACGCGTGGGAACGAGGAAAAAGAAACCTGCCGCCTTTGGGGGTGATGCCGAGGGCTGCAAAGGAGGCGCTTTGGTTTCCAGGACTGTAGCTTAAGCAGGGCTCTAGGTTTGAGTCTTGCCAGCGCTTTCTCCAAAGTGCTTGCGAGCCAGAGGTTTGGCAGAGGCTGCCTTGTCTGAGGGCTTTTCCTTTCTGTGCAGTGGAGAAGGAGAAGACCCACTTGGAGGTTCCTTTGGAGGAGAACATCAACAGAAGGGTTTTGGAGGAAGGATCAGTAGAGGCCAGGACAATTGAAGATGCCATTGCTGTCCTCAGGTACTTGGCTCCGTCACATCGGTGCTCCCCTTTGACGGGGTTGTTGTCCTTTTGGGAAGTTCTGCAGCTGTTCCCCCAAACGGGAATCCTTTCCCAGCTGCCTGAGCTTTTTTGCCCTTTGCCTGCAAATTTCCATCTCGGCAGCAGCGACAAGACGTTTCTGCCACGTTCTGCCCCTTCAAATAAGCTCTGATCTTCTGTAGCGGCTATTGGAAGTGGGTCGGGAAAGTTTTGTGGGGCTTTCTTCTCACCAGCGAGTTGTTCTGCATCCAGTGCTGCGCTGGGAGGGGATCAGAGCCGGGCGAGGGGCTGGTGCCTGCGGGGAGGGCTCTGACACGTGCCTCTTTTCCGACAGCGTTGCCAATGACCTGGACCGGCACCCGGAGCGCCGCATGAAAGCTGCCTTCACCGCGTTTGAAGAGGTCAACCTGCCCCGCCTGAAGCAGGAGAACCCGAACATGCGCCTGTCCCAGCTCAAGCAGCTCCTCAAGAAGGAGTGGATGAAGTCTCCAGAAAACCCCATGAACCAGAGGCACAAGGCTTACAACAGCCACAAGTAGAACTAGAGCCCATCGCCCCGCCGCAGACAGTGGGCCGGAGCCGCAGGGCTTTGCTCCCATGAAACGGGAGGCCCCCGGAGCCTCCTGTCCTTCGTTTCCCTTCCCTGCCCTCCCTTTTCTGTCTTTCCCTCTTCTCGGATTTAGGCGCCAGGCTGCCGCTCACGCTGGGGCCCTGCGGCCTCCTGCTGCCCTCCCTGCCCTCCCGGCCCCTCCGCGGGCGGCTGGCGCAGAGGGACCTGGATGGACTAACGCTACCTTTGGGCTTTTGAATGCGGTTGTTGCGTTAGGGAAAAGCTGCTGACTTGCGTGCGGATCTGCAGCATGGGCCGTGCCCCCACAGGGCCCGTTTGCGCTGCTGCCTGCTGAGGTAGAGAGCCCCCTCGCTGCCTGGCACCCCACATTTAACCCCCTCTCCCAGCCCGTGCGTTCCCCCCGTCGCTACCGTGGCTGCACCGCACCCTCATCTGCAGGAGTCACCTACCAGCACGAGGCAGGCACCTGCTTTCTGCTGCTTGTGTCACGTTTGGCACCAGGATGTTCCTGAGGAGATTCCAGGCTCGGATTGGTGCCGACCCCGTGTCCTGGCAGCCTCTTGGTTGAGTTTTGCCTGGCAGAGTGCAGACGGGGAGGAGGAGCCGCCGCGGGAGCAGCAGCGCCCAGCGCAGTGTTGCGTGGAAGAGCCATCTCCTGCAGCCCCTGCGAGACAGGGGGGCTGCCACAGCTCCCCAGCCCGTCCCCTGCAGAGCCAGACTTCTGTGTCCCGTCCCCGGTGGCCTCGCAGCACGCGTGGCGAGTCCCGGGCTGCCTGTGTCACTCGTGGGACCGGCGGGTCCCTCGTGGAGCTGCGACCAGCAGCGTGCAAGACCCGTGCAGGAAAGGGAGCTGCTGCTTCTCCCACCACATCTGCCGCCTGCTCGGGTGAGGAGGGGGAGCAGGACTGGAGCCCCCCGAGGTGCCCTGTGTCCCCTGGCCTGTCCCCGCGCGGGGCTGAGCAGCGGGGCCCGCCCGGGCGCAGCGACAGCGACGGCCGCTCGGCTGCGCCGCCCTTCGGGGCTCGCGCGGGGCTGGAACCAGGGCTGCCAGGCCAAGCCCCGTGCCGGGGGGCACAAACCCATCGTGGCGGCGACACCCTGCAGTGACACCCGGGCTGGCCGCCCAGCCCGCCGCTCCTTCCAGTGGCACTAAACGGGGGTTACTGGGAGACCCGCGCGCAGCCGGGAGGGCGGCAGGAGCATCTCCAAAGGCCGCGGAGACGTTTGCGCTTTGGCAGGAATGGACATCGCAAAAACTCCCACTGAGACCGAGCTCCTCCTGCTGCTCCCGGCTCCCGCTCCCGGTTTTCCTGGCTCTCCCAAGCCCTCTTTGTACTCTGCTCACGTCTGTGGCTGCAGCAGAGGGGAAAAAGCCGGGCCTGCCCCTGCGAGGGTCGTCCCCAGCCCGGCTCAAGCAAGTGCAGCTGGTAAAGGGGGAGGAATGCACACGGGGTCCCCCTTCTTGTGACGAGGTTGTTGTGTTTGAATTCCTTTAAAAATGGAGGGAAAAAAGGAAAAAAAAAAAAAAAAAGGTTGTTGAAGGAATGAATAAAATGTTGGAAAAACAGTGGCATAGAGTCTCTTTCCCTTTCCTTGGACATGTCTTTGCTGGAGCAGGGGCTGCTCCCGGATGCTCGCAGGGGCTGAATGTGGGAGCCTTTCCCGAGCTGCTTCCTGCCGGGAATGGGCGCTGGCTGCGGCCCTACCAGTGCAGCGGAACCAGAGCGGATCCTGCCAGTGCAGCGGAACCGGAGCGGATCCACCATGGCCCTGCAGGTGCAATGGAACTGGAGCGGATCCGCCACGGCCCTGCCGGTGCAATAGAACCGGAGCGGATCCGCCACGGCCCTGCCGGTGCAATGGAACCGGAGCGGATCCTGCCAGTGCAGCGGAAGCGGAGCGGATCTGCCACAGCCCTGCCGGTGCAATGGAACCGGAGCGGATCCACCACGACCCTGCAGGCGCAGCGGAACCGGAGCGGATCCGCCACGGCCCTGCCGGTGCAATGGAACCGGAGCGGATCCGCCACGGCCCTGCCGGTGCAATGGAACCGGAGCGGATCCGTGCTGCTCCAGGCAGGGGGACATGAGCTGAGGGCTGGAGCATCCTGGTGGGATTCCCCAATTGCAGGAAGGGGTTAATGGGGATGGGTGCCCCCCCCACCCCAGGCACCCATGGGGGCCCCCAGTACCAGACTGGGATTTGGGGGCAGCTGCGGGGGTGGGGGGCACCACCCAGTGCAGGAGGGGACGGAGGGAGGGGGGGGCTGAGCAGGGAGGGC